AAATGCTGAATCGGAGTATTTATGTAACTTGATTCGCATTTGCGAGCATTTGTTTAATATGTAAAAAGTAATGATTATCAAATAAAAAATATATTTTCTTACACTTTTCTACTAGAAGAGAGCATTACTATACCTATTTTTTGGATACAATTTTATGCTCCTTTGATAATTAATTTTTTGACCAAAGTTAAGGCATTGCAGCCTCAGATATTTGGAGCATTTAATGATGGACCCACACTTTGCACCGATTTCAAACAAACAAGACGAGTGAAAAAACGATTTAAAACGTAAACCGTGATTGCATTCATAAACCGAAAAAAGGGTAAATATGTAGTTTACATATTTGTGTTTGCATGCAACCAAACACAACCCTAGATTTTTTAAAACAATTTCTCTCAATATGCCCATATTTTTTGCAATAGTAACATTGTGGTGAATTCTTATTTTGATTGTTGTTATTCTTATACAAGAAATCCTTATTAGCATGATTAGTTTTCTTGCAATGTGAATATGCAACAGAATTGGAACCATTGTTACATTCATTTGAATTTCTCTCTTAGCCATTAGATTTGCCTATACCTCTTCCTCGAAATCCACCATGTCCACAACCTCTTCCATTGTAACCTCTTCCAGCATCTTCAATCCCTTTCTTGGAATCCATCTTCATTTCAAATGCTTGCTCTGATTGATGGTATATCTGCAACTCTATTCAATCTCTATTTATGTGCTTGCAAGGAACCCATTAATTCATTCATAGAATAAGAAGATAATTCCTTAGACTCTTTTATGGTAACAACAACATGATCATATTTAGATGGCACATTTCTTAACACTTTCTCAACAACTTTCTAATCATGTAATTCCTCTCTATAAGAACGAATTTGATTCACAATTGAACTAATTCTAGTAAAAAATTATTGATTTTTTTCTAGAATTTTTCATAGATAGATTTTCAAATTCATAACGGAGAACTTGCAATTTAACAATAAGTACCTTACGGCCTATACCTTGATACTCTTCTTTGAGGATTTCCCATGTTTTGTTTGGAGTGGCGGCATTTATGATTTTTGGAGAGATGCTGCCCACTATGATATGATGGATTAATGATAAGGCCTTGGCATCTTTCTTTTTCTTCTCCTTAAACTCATTTCGTTCAGCTGTTGTCATTTGATCAGGTTCTCCAAAACCATTTTCTACAATGTCTCAGGCTTTAATTGACACAAATATTGTCTTCATCTTAATGCTCCAAAATAGATAATTAGTGTCATCAAAAATAGGAACAACCAATGAACCATTCACAACATTACCTACCATGCTTCTACTCTATTTAAAGTAAATGGAACACCCAACTTCTAGATCAACCTGGCTCTAATACCACATGTAAACTACAATGGTCTTTCCACAACAAATTCACAAACATGTTGTGAGCACAATTTTAAACAAAATAGAGCAAACAATGTAATACTACAAAGACAAAATCTGACTTCTATTACTACATTTTCAATAACAATTTAAATAAACCCAAGACTAACAACTTATTAGTTTCCATGATAACACGCTCAAAATATCTAGCTGAACTTCCTACCCAACTATAAAGACGTACAAATAACAACCAAGAAAAAAAAAGAACTAATTGTAACTTTGAAAGTAACCTTCTACTAAATAGTGGCCCAACTGGCCCAACAATTTGAATTAGTCTAACAATCTTATCCACAATCAAACTTTGATAGCCAAAATTTATATCAAGATGAACTAACAAATTAGTTAACATAGCTAAATAAGGAAAGCAAAACTAGAGATTTCAAAATTAGACTTTTTTTGGAATGGTTAGAAACTAGTCAAAACCTGTGTGATGCACGCGATTTGTTAAGTGAAATTATTGAAGTATAAGAAGTCCTATGATATTCTCAATTGAGCCAAGCCAGTCTAAGCCTAACCCAAGTATTGCATTTTAGGTTATGTTTAGCCAATCTAATTGCAACCCAATTTGCACCCCTAATGCTTAATGAGAGTGGTCAAATTTGTATGCTACTTTTTTATTGAGTCATCTTAAAACTTTATTAATGTAATTATTTTCAAATGTAATACAGCCGAACAATTAAATTATTAAAAATTTAATTGTCAAATTAATATTTTTCTTATTTTATTAATTTAAATTATTTCAAAATGAATTTAAATGGTTATAAATTATAGTAAAACTAAATTTATTAATATTTTTTCAAAAATAATATTTTATTAATTTCAAAAATAATATTTTCTTAAATATAAATTAAAATATCAATTAATAATTTATAAAAATATATAATCTAAAACTAAACTATATCAAATATTAAAACTTCTAAGATACATATCATATGCAAATTCATAATTTTTAACTACTAAAATGATTAGTTCGTTATTAATATCTTTATTTCTATAATTTGTCTAAAATTAAAACTCTTTTTTTTATATAAATGTAGATAAGTAGATTTGGTAGATTCAATTTAATATTATATTCTTGAATATTTTGTAAACAATTTTTATTTTTGTAATTAATAAATATGTTGTTACTTAATGTAAATTAAAATATTAATTAATAATTTTAAAATATATATATATATATATATTTTAAAATACATATAATGTGTAAATTAATAAATCTTAATTACTAAAATAATTATTCTATTATTAATATTTTATTTGTATAAATTTCTTGAGATTCAAAAAATCTTTTGATATATTATTTATTTCATTATTTATAAAATACTAATTTTGAATATTATTTATATCAAAGTATATATCATATGCAAATGCATAATTCTTATTTATTAAAATGATTATTCTATTATTAATATTTTATTTCTATTATTTTTCTAAATTTTTTTTATATAAATGCAGATTAGTAGATATGATAGATTAGTTTAAAATTTAAGGTAGAAATTAATGGCACATGCACATTGCGTGTAGCATATCATTGTATATCAGTATGTATCAGTCGATACATTGATATATACACATGAGTGATAGGATGCACATCCAGTTGTAGTGTATCCTACACCAAATACTAATAATACCGATACGATACGCCTCATATCGGACGCATCATATCAACATTTCAATCCTTGGGCTTGATCGAATCAGTTGATGAATAATCAATCCACAATTTTTTCCAAGCCAACCAGTCGGTCTAGTCCAATTCTTAGAACACTGATAATTTGTGTAGTCTACCCTACTGTATTTTAAGCAAACAACATGTGTAAGGGATTTTTTGGCTCTAACAACCTGTGAGCTTTATGAGAAAAACCAATTTCAACCCTAAAAAATAAAAAGGGTCATTTTTGACCCCAGACTTCGATAGAAAGGACCTTTATGGGTAAAAACAAATGGCATTTGAAATGGCGTTAATAGATCCACTAGACAACGTTATGTGGCACTACTAAAGTTTGAAAAAGACCACTTTCGACCGTAAAGTTTGAAAATGGGCTACTTTAATAAAAGTTAATTAAGTAAATTAGTTCAAAGTCTAATTAAATGACACTAAAGTATTTAGTTTACTTAATTATTAAAAATTACACTAATTAAGAAAATTAAGTAAATTAAATTAATTAAGGAAACAAAATTAATTAATTAATTAAATTTAATAAACAAAACTAATTGATCTAAATAAGTAAATTAAGCCAATTAAGCAAAGTTTTAAAAACCAACCTAAGAAGGAACCATTTTGGTCCCCATCTTCTAGGTCAGCGACTCAATTGTTTGGTCCAAAAGAATCAACCCATGATGTTTTGTAAAATAAAAAATGACCTGAAATCCATTTGCTAGATCGAACAATTTAGCAGTTCAAATGTTTTGGTCAGCAATTTGTTGACCAAGTTAAAAATTTTGAGCGGTCAAATTGTTCAACCCAGGAATTGGTCAATTGTCTAATTCCATTTTATACATATGCAGTCAAACCATTTGACCCAAGAACTGATCTATTACCCAATTCTATTTTATACTTGGCACAAAATTTTTCAAAAAACAATTGACTTGGTTAACAAACCATTGTCCCAAATGGTTGAACTACTAAATTATTCAATCCAGTAAATGGTTTTTAAGTCATTTTTTATTTTAATTATATTTTATTTTTTTATTTTTAAGATGTTGGTTGATCCATTCAGACCGGATCACCGAACTATTACATAGAAACTAGTGGCCAAAGTGGTTTTATTTTGAGCCAGTCTTTAAATTACCTTGCTTAATTGGCTTAATTTACTTATTTAGATTGATTAGCTTTGTTTATTTAATTTAATCAATGAACTTTGTTTCCTTAATTAATTAATTTACTGATTTTAATTATCTTAATTCTTGTAATTATTTAATTAAATTAATTAACTTAATTATATAAATTAAATACTATAGGGTCATTTAACTAATTAACTTTATTTTAATTAATTAAGTGAATTAAAACTTAATTATACCGTAGGGTCATTTTATTAGACCTCGAAGTAACTTAATTAACTTTATTAAAGAGGCAAAATGGCCTTTTTAAACCTTTAGCAATGCCACATAACAGTCCATCAGATCTATCAACGTGTTTCAAACTCAGGGTTGTCAAGGCCAAAAGTCCTGCCATAATGGCTTAATAGACCATCAACCTAAGAAAATGCAGAAATGGCACACCATCCACGTCACCGCAAACCTACTAAATACTAAAAACTGGGGCCTGTTTCCCACGCCACAAAACCCTGCACGCACCCTGAAGGCCTGAACCAACTGCATTAACCCACGCACTGAGAATATCTCCCGTTTGTGTGATAAATTCATGGGGGGATGTGCCCAATGTGCGGGTAGATTCCAATGTTTTCAGGGTGTCTACAGAGTGTACGTGGGGAGGACATCACGTATCATTAAATTCCCAAGTAAAAAGTGCAGAACTAAATATATGGATAGTTATGGGTGGTTTCATGCATGGGTCGTATATTTACCCAGCACTAGAAGACTAAATCAATACCCTTTTTCCAAAATAGGAGAAAGCAAGATTAGAAAGTAGAATGTCAGATTTATGAACAAAAAATATCCTTTAAACCATTGACAGGGGAGAAGATATAATCCAACTCAACGATATTTTCCAGGCAAGTTTTTTTCTAGACAGAACATGCCATGATGGCATGATCCTAGATACAATGAAACTGAGAAACTTGCTTTCTAGTCCAATGAAAATTTCACTTAGACCTGCTCTCCAAGCCCCAAATAGAACGTTCTTTCCAAAACTGATTTCCTTATTGAGGAAAATGGAAACAACAAATCCTTGGCAAATAGCTGTGCTTAGCTAGGTCGCTCGGTAATCCAGAAAAAGACTAAGTTTCTGTACAAGTATCTCGCGAGTCCCATATAAAGGCTTGCTAGTAATGATCCAATCCTTGTCAAGGATCCCAGTCTTCATGCTTCTCAGCATGTCATCATGAAATACGGCTACAATGCCATAGATTGATGTCCTGAAGATGTCAGCCATGGCATATGCCTTGGAATGCAAAGGCCCACCTTTTCTTCTACTCATAACGCCTGGCGACCCTTCCCTTCTTCCAGTGCTTGATGTGGCCCACTTGATACTAGCAGGGCCCACTAAATTAGGTGGTTGCAAATTGGTTTTCTTCCCCATGCAAGCCTCAACAGCAAGCAGGCAAGAAAGTAGGGTTGAGATAACAGATGCATTGCAACCAGAAAGTTGAGCAACACCAAACCTGTCCTCCTTGTGTGATCTTGCAGTTAGCCCTGCAACTGTCCTTGCACACCATGCATATAGCTGCAAAATATTGCCCGGGTAACCATTAGATGCAATTCGAAATTGGAATAAAAAGAACAAAAGAGGGCAAACTATAGAACACATTCAATTAAGATAGAGCAGATACAAGTTTGAAATGATAATCATATCAGCAAAGCAAGGTTAGACACTTGAGGTTGAGGGGTTGCAATATGGAAGGGATCATCGACTCAGAGCCCACAACCCATTGGATCCTCCCATTTTATTTCTTTCATCACTACTGTTGTTCATCCATCCTCCTTAATACAAGAATTTTTTTTAAAAGATAAGGAACTATAATTAAAATTAAAAACGAATCTTTCATGAGTGAATTAATAATTTGGCCCTAGCATGGACATGTTTGGACTTGCCTCAAGGGGCTCAGTACAAAGCAGCATGTAAAATTAGGGTAATGTGATTAGGAAAGAAATAAAGAGATTGAAAGTTTCACATGCTTGAATAGTTTTATATGTTATATTTATGTATTTTGATTTGAGAAAATAGATTTTATGTTCAGAAAATGAATGTGGCATAAATGTGGATGCTAAGATGGATGTGGAAAAACTAGAAAGGATATGATTAGGAAGAAAGTTATCTGTAGGAACCTAGGACAAGCTCCAATAGATGATAAAATGAGAGATAGTAGACTAAGATGGTTTGGGCACGTGCATAGAAGACCACCAACTGTGCCAGTTTGAAGAAGAGATTTGGAAGATGATCCACCCATGTTTCTAATTGCCCAAACTAGGGAGGCTTCTACTAAGGAGAACTATGAAGTTAACTTATCAAAAAAGAACTATGTTCTTAATGGCTTCTACCAAGGACCTTTTTTTTTGTGATAAATACCAAGGACCACTTCTATTACAGTCAATAACATCAACTGACAGAAAGCGCATATGTGTTAAACAAAAGCATCTAACAAGGGGTCTCCAAAGGTATCAAAAAATCAGGGTAAGTTTAAGATAATATTAGAAAAAGTGAGGGTAGTTTTTGTGATTTTAGTCACAGTTCAACTATACTAGGTTAAGAAATCAGATAATAGTGGTATTGTTTTTGCTTCTTTGATGAAAATATTTATGTTTGAGATCCTATTTCCCAAAAGTAAGGTTTCAGGTACTTGAAAGGTTTTTGTTTTTGCTTATTTTAAAAGTTAGCAAACCATTACTATGTACAAACAGCAATAAAAACTAATTGAGATATTGAGAAATCATTACAAAGGTATGAATCTACAAAAAGAAGAAGAAAAAAGACAATTTAATAAGGCATGTGCCTTGAGGTACAAGGTGCACAAAGCAAACACACCTTATGAAAGAGGCAGACTATGCCCGGGCTCAAGCAAAGGTGAATGCTAAATGTGCCACACTTTGTTTTTGATCAGCACCAAATGTGCCTCACTTGTACACCTTGGAATAGCCAAGATGTGATTTTAAGAACACTACAAGATCTCCATACGTATTAAGTAAATCCAAACATTTATATCTGTCAAACCAGGCTCTAGATTACCATTTTAAGCCATAAATGAGCTTCCTCAACCTACAAACCTTGCCTTGACTTTTAGGAATGAACACACCAAGTGGAAACACCATATAAACTTGTTTAAAAGATTTCCATTAAGGACATTCTTGACATCCAAATAATATACAGGCCATAAGAAATGAACTAAAGAAAATAAGACTTGAAAAGGATTCGTCTTGGCAAATGAGTGTGGCAGATAGACCTGTTAATGGGTCAGGTAGCCTGATCGGCTGGCTTGGCCCAGCCAATTATATGTCGAGCTTGGACAAACTTTTAAGCCCATGGGCTTGTGCTCAAGCTTTCCCAAATAAGCCTGGCCCAAGCCCAACTTAATAATAGTTTATACATGATAAAATATAATATATTATAATATTATGTAATAATAATATTAGTAGCGGAAAATGCATTATATAATATAAAATATCATATAATATATAATATATTATTAATAATATAAATAATATATTACAAAATATCTGTCCAGATTGGCCTTCAGGCTATATATAGAGCTGGGCTCGTGCTCAAGATCTACACCCGATGGTCGGGCCAAGCTCAAGCTTGGACCTAGTCATTTTCTGTTTATAAAGAGGTAAAGCCCCACCTAAACCCAGCCCGGCATGGCCCATGAACATGTCTAGTCACAGATATGTGAATGCTAAGATGAATGAAAGGAAAAACTAGAAAGGGTAAGATCAAGAATGAAGTCATCCATAGGAACCTAGGAGTAACCCCAATAGGTGATAAAATGAGATGAAGTAGACTACGATGGTTTGGTCACGTGCATAGAAGACCATCAGCACCAGTTAAAAGAAGTGGTTTGTTACATGTTGAAGGGCTAGAAGGGCTAAGGTAGACCAAAAAGGACACGGGTAGAAGTAGTAAGAAGTGATTTAAGCACTCATAATTTAATAGAGGATGTGGCTTTAAATAGAACAAATTGGCAAAACAGGATTCATGTAGCCAACCCCATATAGTTGGGTAAGGCATGGAAGATTATGATGAATAGCCATGTCAAAAAGGCCCCATATAGTTCATGGGCTGGGCTCGGACTTGGCTTTTGCCAAAATTTGAATGGACCCGGCCCGAAGCCCGAGCCCGACACTGTGTAAAGTCAGGCCCAAAGCCCAGCCCATGAACAGGTCTAATGATGAATAAGGGCAAGGTTTCTTGATAATCAACAAGAGCAATGTAACTAAAGCACTGGGAGAAATGTTCACATGGGTCAAGAGAACTACAAATGGGATGGCTGATTCATTGGCCAAGCAAAGGGTTCATTGGGAAAAGTTGCTCTGGGCAGAACCGTAATATGGGTTTGATAGTAAAATAAAGGGTAGCTAAGAAAGATTTCCCAGCAGGGACAGCACTGGATTATACTATTAATTTCAATGTTCAAAGAATCGGATCAGGCATAGAATCGGAAAAGGGAGAGGTTCACGGGTCAAAGGTTCAATCAGGATCGAACCGTGATGACAGGGCATATACATAAATATACTATGGATCATATAAATACTATATATAATATATTTTACAACTTTTTCTACTGAAATATGGTGGATGGAGGGATGTTCCTTATTTTTTAAAGCAAATGGCCAGGGTTCAAGTCTCTTAATTTATATTTTCTTTCAAATATGTGTATATTTAAGTAATATATACAATAAAGAGTCATTAATTAACACAAATAAAGAGGTAGACTAGTGGTAATGAAGTAATACATGAAAATAAGAGGTCATGGGTTCAAGTCTTATCACATACATTTTAAATTTTCAATTACTTAATGACTCGGGCAGTTTCATGAAACCGAGACCGGTTCACCATTTTTCTGGTTAAACCGGCCAATCAGCCAGATTTAACCGGGTTTTTAGCTATTACAGTTCTTGGGGTGCCAGTTCACCATTTTTTCTGGTTAAACCGGCCAATCAGCCAGATTTAACCGGGTTTTTAGCTATTACAGTTCTTGGGGTGTCACCAAACCGTCCAAGGACCCAGATCACGGTTCAACTGGTCCGATTGGCCAATCAGGTCTGGTTTCCTAAACACTAATTAATTTAATCTGAATCAATGAAGCCTCCTGTTATTGATAAAAAAAAAATGTTTTGTTTATACCCCTTGACAACTAGGCTTAATTTGATTCTTTCCAAGAGCATCCATCCCCTAGGTCATTGCATCCTTCCATTGAGGAAGATTTGACTTCTGCCACAATTTTAGGCATAAAAAAAAAGCACAAAAATAAAAGAAAGCACAATATGATGGAGAAAAATAATCATGAGACATAATTGGAGATAGAATAAGGAACATTAGTATAAGACTAAGTGCACCACCTTTACCTTTTCAAGTAATAGGTAGGGAAGATCAATAAAAGCATCAAACATCAGGATCAAGACACCTTGTACCTGATGTAACCCATAGATCTTGTCCTAGTACACCCCCCCTACCTTTTTTATAACTGAACTGTCATTTATCAACAACAGAAAACCACAAAAGCCACCACCTAGTTGCCCCAACGGGCAACAAGCCAGCAAAAACAAAGGCAACCAACAAGGAACAGTAACAAATTAAATCCCGAACCAAGACAACACCAAATTAACTGAATGCTTACAGCCCTGGCTCTTGCTAATGAGTCTGCCACAGCATAGKCACTTCTAGAAACCCAGTTGATTCAAGAGCCAATAGCTCAGTTCTCACCAAGCTCCTTATCCCACAGAACCTGAAAAGCCAGTTCTCACCAAGTTCCTTTGACCCAGATTACCCAAACTGCAGCTATCAAAATTAAATTCTAATTTACCTGCCTCCGGAGCCACCCACTCAACCAATCTTTGTTGTTTGCTGTTTTGAATCACCAATAATTTGCAAAGTTCTAAGAAAATCATTCATACTAACACCCTGGAATTCAACACACACATAGGCTATTCTCACCATAATTAGCTCAATCAAACACTCAGCCTCCAGCTTGTTGTCGTCAAAAGCTCTAGCATTTTTTTGCATTCCACAAGCCCCATAGAACAGCTGCACTAGTCAGCCTTCTTAAATTTTGTAAAGGAATTATGAGATTTTTTTTATTAATGACCAAAAGGAATTATGAGATTTCAGTCAGCCTTCTTAATTTTGTGTCTTTCAAGGTTGGAGAATGCTCAACTATAAAGTTTTGGAAAGATAATTGGGTGGGGATTGTAAGGGTTTTTTTTTCTTTTTTGATGAGTGGGGATTGTTAAGTTTTGTGACTAGTGTCACCAATTGTATAGTTTAAGCAAGAAAAATGTGTCTATTGTGGATAGTTTTGAAGTAACCCAAGGAAGAGTAGTGTAGTGTCCGAAGTTAGGTCTTTGCTAGACTGGAAGGTGGAGGAATGTGTATATTTGTTGTCAATGTTGCAATTGGTGGAGCTCAAAGTTGAGAGAAGAGATTCAAGATGGTGGAAGAAATCCAACTATGGAACTTATCAAAAAAAGGAATCCAAGAATGGAGTTATGACTTAATTTTTTTACAGTGTACAGTGCTCTTGCAAGGAATCAAGTAGAGAAATCGGAGGTGAAAGGAATTTAAGGAAATCCCATTCCACATAGACTGGAAGCGTTTTCTTAGCTAGTTGCTTTGCATAGCATTCCTACATGGGACCAAATTCAAAAAATTAGGGAGTTCAGATGAGTGGAAGAAGTTATTTATGTAAGGCTGCTGAAGAGATTTATTGCACTCTGCCTTGATTGCTGCTACTCAAAATACATTTGGGGATTCTTTTTTGGTCTTTTCAACACTAACATGTAACATCTTGGAACCAAGATCCCCGGGAGACATCTTTGCTCTTTTTTATGAGTAATAGTATAATTTTATTAATTCAGAAGCTGATTTAGAATCGTGATTTCATACAACATCCCACAGAGGCACAAGCTGCAGACCCTCCAATAAACTTACAAGTAAACTAAGAATAAATTACAGAAATCACAGCTGAACCCAAAACAGTTCTTCCCTATTTACCCTTTGCTTGGCTAACCCATCAGCCAAAGTATTTGTTGATCTCCCCACCCATTGCACAAAAATCAACATATTCCTTGTCAACCAACTAAATTTCTTCATTTCATTCTTGTAGCACCATACACCATCCTCAGTGTTTTTCAACCAACCCACCACCACCTTGGAATCCCCATCAATTATCAAATGCTCTACCCCCAACTGGTTTGCAAATTGCACCCCTTGTACAGAAGCTAATAGCTCTGCCCTGATAGTCTCCGAATCCTAAAGGACCTGAGTATAGCAAAACAATATCTCCACTCTCGTTCCTCAAAACACCCCCCCATTCCAGATAATCCTTAGTTACTCATGTTACTTCCATCAAAGTTCAGATTCAGTGAGCCTTCAGACGGAGGAGACCAGCTTGTAATTATCTTGTTCTTAAAGGATGAACATCTCGCTACTGCTGACCAGCTTCTCCAAGAGTCATTAAATGAGAATTGATGAAAATTTTCCAAAGTCTTCAACCAAAGTATTGCCCTATGCCATAGTTGTCAAGGCAACACCTAGGCTGAGGTGCCAAGCAGTTTTGTATAGTGTCGTATAAAATACCTTTATATTGTTATTTTTTTAGATTATAATTATAAAAATAGACATTATTAAACAAAAATATTCATTTTTGTGTTTATAAACTAATTTTTGTATAGCGTCTTCTTCTTCTTCTTCCACCTTTTCTTTTCTTCTTTTCCAATAACAAAAATAGAGGTTCAGCCCCTATATTTTTTGAATTTTCTTTTCTTCTTTGTCTTCTCATAAATATGCTGATTTTCTAGACTTAGACATTATGAAATTATGGATAGTTATTAAGGAAAGATGGTTATGGAACCTAAGGAACTACCCTAGGATATGTTGTTTTTACTTAAAAAAATCCATCACCTAGGCGACTAGGCAACAAGGCGCCCCCTGTCGCCAAGCCTTGCCTTGGCGACTTGAAAATTATGGCATATGCAATAAACAGTCTTTCAGTTCCTGACTGCTCCTTTCCTTTTCTTGAAAAATTCTAGCATTCCTTTCTTCCCATAATGTCCAAATAAAGGTAGTGCAAGCACATATCCACATAATTCTCCCTCTTTTTGCAAGCCAAGAGAAAGTATAATGGTCAAAGATCATGAAAACTTCTAATGGTAAACTCCAACTACTTCAAACAACGAGAGTAACCAAGCCCAAAGGTCTGCAGAAAATGGACAAGATATTAGTAGATGGTAACAATCCTCCCCATGAACTCTACAAAGGATACACCAGTTGAGAGAAATACAAAGAAAAAGTCTTCTCTTTTGTAAGTTATCTAGAGTGTTTACTTTCTCGTGGTATACTTCCCAACAAAAAGCCATAATCTTTAGGGGAATTGGCCTGCACCAAATTTCCTTTGATGGAAAGGGTTGTTAGGCAGAAGACTAGGAGATGGACTTGAAATAAGAAGCACAAGTAAAGATCCCTTTGGGTCTAGGAACCCACACCCTTTTGCTTGGCCAGGAGGGATCTAAGAAAACCTTATCAAGGCAACAAAGCAAGTCAGAGAGAGAATCAATTTCATCATTCTATAATCCACTACGAAACCCAAAATTCCAATTAGGAGCCATAGGTGTTCCCGAGGATGAGACAAATTTTGAAGGAAAAGGTCCTTTAGAAGGGTGTTCCCTACCCAGATGTCCTCCCAAAAGCAAACAGCATTGTCAAAACAAACTTCATACCTAATAAACCTAAGAAATTGAGGAAGGGTGTTCTGAATTGCCTTCCAAGGTGCTGCCAAGTTAGCCTGCCTTGATACACCAACATCCCAKYCATTCTCTRAWYTCCCATGAATGYTTCCCACCACCTCATGCCACAATCTCTCTCTTTCCAATGGCCATCGCCACAACCATTTCCCTAACAGAGCTTGATTTTTTTCAACCATCCTCCCTAGTCCCAAACCACCCTTTTCTTTATTTCAACAAACAATTTCCAATTTTACCAAATAATCCTTTTTTCCTTGCCTCGGCTCCCACAGGAAATCTCTCATCAACTTCTCAAACTTCCTAGCTTCCCTAAATGGTATCCTAAAAACAAACAAAAAGTGGGTAAGTTAGCCAATGTAGCTCTTATTAAGGTGATTCTCCCTCCCAAAGAGATGTATTTCTTCTTCCACAAAGCTAATCTTTTCTCAAACTTTTCTAGCATTGGGGTTCAAAATCTGCTCTCCCTAGGATTTGCCCCTAATGGAATCCCTAAGTAGGACATAGGCCAAGAAGAAATGAAACACTCAAGACACTCCGTAATAACCTCAATTTCCCCATCCTCCAAGTTTATACCAGCTACGCAACTCTTCTCCAAATTTATTTTCAGATTAGATACTCTTTCAAAGCCTTTGATTTGCTCCTTTAGGTTTGCTACCTTCTCGCTATTACCTCCTTCACAAAACCACAATTTGCTCATTGGCCTACATTGAGAGAACATCAAGGCAAAGATAGCTTGAAGTTGTGTTACATTTGCCATTTGTTGGGAAGTTTGGAAAGAGAAAAACAAAAGGGTTTTTGAAGACAAAGCACGAACAAGAGACCAAATTGCTGTATTGTGTGGAAAAAGAATATGGATTGGATTCTCATACTTCCAAAATTTGAAAGAGTCTCAAAGGAAGATCTTGGAATTGGGCTTTGACCTTTGTTTGAATTAGATTAAAAACATTAGTTGTTGCATTTGCTTCTTTGGAATGTTTCTCAGTCTTTACTTTGGAGTTGTATTTTTGGTGCTCTCTCATCACCTTATTTGATGTGCTCCTTTTTTCTTATTAATGGAATTTTTTTTATCTATTGCCATAAAACACTATTTTCTCAACAAGGTCAGTTCTCTAAAGTGAACATCTTGTTTCATTTGTCAAAAGATCTGGCAAATTCATTAGTGGATTTTTTTTACTCTAAGGAGTAGATTGAGCTAAGCTGCAATGGGAGTCTGCCCTTCTGGGGTATACCTTAACATGCCCTTTTGTTTTCTGGTAGGAGTTACAAATTGTCCCTCCTCTGTTCAATGGAAAGTTCTTACTGGTATTCTATGTATACTTTGCATATTCAGTTAAAAAAAAAAAAAAAAAAATCTCTGGTAACTCATGAATTTATTTGTGTAACATCAAGAATACAAAAGAGGGAAAAAATAGTGGGATGGGAGATAGGGGAATCTGAGATCAATTCAAAGCTCAAATTAATAATGGTACCTGGAAGTCATCAAACATTTCAAAAAGCTTGGACTCCAAGCGTGCATTGGATGGTGACCATAACTGATGAGCTAATTGATCTGTCTTGTCCCCTAAACAACCTTCCAACCCTTCACCAAGATTTGATGTTAGCTTTTCTAGAGGCCTTAAGCACACAGCAACAACTCTTTTGTAAGTCTCACCAGTTTCTTCAAAGAAGGCAGCTCTACGCCAGGTATCAACATTACTCTCACAAACCATACAGAGGTCAAAATATGCAAGATATTGCAGAAGAGATCTTGGAGTGCTCTCCTCCAGAGCTGCAAGGAGTGGTTCGCTTGGATTTGTTTCTGCTGCAGCTGATCCTTTAGGAGGTGCAAATATGCACCTTTTTGTATGTAGAACCTGCATAAATGCTCAAAGATGAGAAGACACAAACTGCACCTTCTGAAAAGAGAAATGATACAGATGATTTTAACAGGACTACACAACTAGAAGCCATTATTAACCATGATTAAACAATCAATGAGCTTATTAGCAGATCCACTTATGCAAATTTGTTAGGAATTTCAAGCCCTCAAAAGAGAGTGAATTGTGTACAAAATTATTTGTAATGAGCCAAATGAAGAAATTTGAAATCAATGTTAAGAAAGCCAACCTGATGTAAATGATGACTTAGTTCCCAACATAGAGAAACTGCAGAACTTCCAACATAAAAGATGATCTGCTCAATAATGAACTGCCTGATTGTACTCTTGCTCTTAAATTGATCTGGCAACAATACCACCAGAAGAGTTGATACTAGGAAAGCTGCACTTGATAGCTTTAAAGATTGCCTAACAGCTGAAGGGAGACCCATTTTAAAACTGAAGAATGGAGGACGCTGAAAAGATAAGCCAGTTAGTTTCCTTTCATTCTGTTCTAGATAAGTACCACAAATTGACGTATTATCATGAAAACAAAAGCTTCCAATCAGATGGTAAACATAATTTACACACTTGAATGAAACATCATAAAGGCAGCATGTTTGGAAATCTTCTTCCACACCAATAACTGTATCTTTTTTGGAACCTGATAGTATCAGTTATTCAGTTGAGTACAGCTTCTTCCCCTTAGCCAATAACTCTTAAAATACTTAACCAAAAGCTGGAATTTTAACTGCAATTAAATTATTATTAGACAAAACAAGTTAATAAGATGGACCTTACAAAAAAAGAGTTGAAAATAACCAAAATGCCCCACTATATTCCAGTTTTGACTTATTTGTTCCCACATCATAGTGCCCCCTGAGACAAAACCAATACAAAAACTTCACAGCATCACTGAGGCTTCTAAACTACTGATCAGTCAGTCTAGGAAATTTCAATGAATTAGGACCTCCAACATTCATCTTGACTATATCAAGACCTATGATACCTGGATTCCTGAAGACCCCAAGCACACTGGTGTCAAATAGAACAATACATACCCAATAGGGTTCATTATTTCTGTCTGGGCCTGCATTGCCCAGCCCAGCCCAGGCTTCAATCAAGCCCACAGGCCCCACACATAAGGCAGGTTGGGCCCAGGGCCAGTCATAAAAATAAATTTAATTTATAACTTGTATCTTTACCCTTGCACACGTGCATAGCACATGCCCTTACGCTAGTGTGTGTGTGTAGTATATAGATAGATATAAATTAAATAGAACAGGTATGGCTTTAAATAGAACGGATTGGTGAAACAGGATTCATGTATATATTAGAAGCTCAATTAAACTTGACTTGATACAAGTATTGACAAATAACACAGCTTCAAAACCAAAAATAAAATAACGATATAATCATATTAAATGTGGTGCCTGTATCCATTTAGGAAGGAAATGGAAAATCATCCCTCTTTTTTGTATCAGTGCCCATGTTGGTATTCATATCTAGACATCGTAGATCATAGTTATCAAAGCATCACCTAGGTGCCCAAGGCTGGGCGCCTAACTTGAATGCCTTAACTTATAGCAAAAAGTCACTCAATTAGGCAATAAAAGTTACAAAGCAGGTACCTTATTATAATATTATTCAAATTGCTACATCCTACAAATAAGTGTATCAATAGTTCAATACATCATATACTTTACTATATTTATCATTTATACTTTGCTGTAGTGTTTTACAATTGAAATTTAAAAGACCCAAGGGTTTTGAGAAAAGAAAAAGACAAAACAGGAATAGAAGTATGAAACAGTGGCTCCAGCTGGTTCTTTTTCTCTTTACTCTGTATTTAAAAAAATACCACACAAAATTCTAGAAGTGAGATGAGGTTGAACATATGTTGCCATTTTTTCTTCGATTTATAGCAAATTTGTTTGGTCTGAGCAGTGTAGGTGAAATTGGTTTTGTTTGGGTGTAGGGTTTTTCTTTCTTCTCAAGAGTGATTTCTCGTTAGTCATACTCATTACCTTTCTTGTAATTTTCTTTTTCTTTTAATAAGATTTATATTTTGCTAACAACAAAAATTACAACCTTCTTTAATTGATAATTTGATATGAAATTTTTCTATTATTAATAGTGTTAGTATTATTTTGAAACTATTGAAACTGATATATTTGAAAGGAAAAATAATATTCATAATGAAGAGAAGTGCTGTTTTTCAATAAAATAATATGCATGCTGAATGGTATATAAAACTAGGTAAGTAGAAAAAAAATTGTTCTTAATTTAATGGGATTCTTTTTTTTTGATAAATTAATTTAATGAAATTCTTATCAAATAGGCATTGCTTAGGTGCTCCATTATTGCCTAGATGCCTTGACAACTGTCATAGATCAAGATATAATATAAGTTGAGATATGGTCTGATTGAACTCCACAAAGCCCCTAATATCATCCCCAACAGTCTAGACATATCCACCAATCAAAAAAAAAGTCTAGACATATCTTCAATGGCTCAACTAGATGTTTAAACAAGGATTTACAGCTCAATGAAAGAAGACACTTTTTCAACTTAGTCAATGAAATGGAGTTGCACTCAGGATCCATCTACTCCAATTTTAAATTGCTTGAATGCTTAATGACATGGATGCCAAGAATTCAGTTGTCTACAAGTATTCAGCATGTCAACCTCTAAAATCATGCCAAAAGAATACTCCAACAAATAATATTTAATTATAGATAATATAATAATACAGAAAATTAAAAAAAAAAAAAACAAAGTGTTATATTCCTTATCTGACATATCTTTTCTCATAATATCTTATCCATAAATGCAAATTCCTGAGTTTTTTCTCTACTTTAACCATCATTGAGAAGCCACAGGAAGCATTGTGCCAACTACCAAGTTCCAAGCATTGACAGAGTTCCAGGCTCAAGGCATCCTTGTAACACCAAGCCTTAGGATCAATTTTAGCAATCATCTCTAGAAATGAGTTTAAATAGAACAGATTTTTGTTGGATTGAAAAAAAAGGAATGAGTCACCACTACTTTTGACCAGTTCAAAAGTCAATTCAAGGACAACAAATAACTTTAACAAAGCATGATTGCACACCCTCATGAATAATGAAAGGCAGATCTTAGGGTCCGTTTGGTTCGCAGTTGGAATTGGAATCAAAATGCTTCAGAATTGGAACCAGAATGGTCTATTCCCATAGTCTGTTTGGTTCAGACAGGAATGGGAATGAAAATTGGAATCAGCAGGAATGAGATTTCATTCCCAAGGGAGGGGGAAGGAATGGCCATTCCATCAAATGGGGGAATGTCATTCCACCAAGAATGGGAATGGGATTCCAATTCCGCCCAACCAAACAGTTGGAATCGGAATAGCCCATTCCGATTCCGATTCCAATTCCAGACCCTTATTCCCACAAACCAAGCAGGGCCTTATTATTCAATTAGTAGTCCAAAAGAGAGCACTATTGATGCTTTAGATGTAAAGGAGAGGGCTATTTTTTGTTCTATTAGGGGGATATGGGTATGCTATCAATAGTTATTTCTTTTAAAATCTTGTTTGGGGTGAGGGTAGAGATGTGGGTGGAGGCTACTGTATACTAAAAGGTATAGTGTGGTAAGAGATATATAGAGTTTTAGAGACATATAGAGAGAGGGAGAGATTAGAGTGGGTCTGATACTGTCAAAAAGATGGATGCCAGTGTGTTTTGACGAGTATGGATGATGTACGACGGAGTGAGGATCCTACAAATTTCAGATCTTGTGGTAGACTTTGTGGGGGTGCCGGGGTGGAGGGGGGCTCTGGGTGATTAAGGATGAAGAATGGGGGTGGAAAAGCAAATAGACAGTTTTATATCCATCAGTAAAAGAAGAAGAAAAAGGGGAGAGAGAGGGGAGGGGAGTAGCCCGTCCCCCCCCTGAATACCTTCATATAACATGATACTCTAACCAATGGAGCTTTAACATGCTTGTTGAAGCACTTTAAGTTTTTCTTATGTTTTCATTTTCAAAAGTGGCACCTCACATCATTCAAGCATGCATCTTACATTGTGCCTTCCATTTCAGGCTCTAGATCATTTGCACTTTAGTTGTGTTTTTTTCTCTTTGCTTCATGGGGCTACACAACGGAGGGTAGTCCCCTTAACCCCGCAACCCTGGTGGCAGCGGGATTTGATCCCAGGTCTCTACACTGACGAGTCAGAGATCATACCAACTGAGCCACCATCAGTTGGTACTGTAGTATTTTTTAAATTTTAAAACATTGATTCTACCTAACTCTACATCCTTTACAAACTTCCTGTCCCTAAAATCCTAACTTCCTTCACTCTGTAATACCCTTTTAAGGTCTTATAAAGAATAGTTTCACAACAGTAGCTCATCATCATCATCTAAGCCATATCCCAAGTATATGGGTTTGGTTACAAGAATCCTGTTTCGGTTTCACAACAGTACCTGCATTCCTTGAAATTCCAGATCTAAACTTTTTTTCTTACTTAAATCTCATCAATTTGTACAAAAATTAAGAATTGATAAAATATAAAGATGGTTGCAAGACCAAAACAATGGGCTATCAGTCCCATTCCCTCCCCCCTTTTCCTTTTACTCTTACAGTAGCTAGCTTAACTTTGGATCCCCTACTATCCCCAATACAACTGTTGTCCATTAAACCCTTCTTTAGCCAGATCATCTGCCATAGCATTTGCAGATCTTAGTATCCAACTGAAGATATGTGCAGAACCCTTTCCAATGCTCTCATCACCCTCAAGATATTCCAGCCCCCAAACTTGATATCATAGTAAAACTAAATCCTGCTAGTAAGACCCTAACTATTGAATCAATCAAAAACAAGAGTAGATATTGAATATTGATAGGGCCAGACCATAGAGTAGTTGCCCAACATCATTTACATCATGCACTTATTGGATAAAAATCTTTTTTTGTCAGTCTTATGGGATGAAATTCTCCCTTGGAACATTCTCTATAATTCCCTTCAAACCTCTATTGAAAGCAAGTCAGTAAGTGTAAATCAGTAGAACAACACTCAGGTGACAATATGTAGCGAAAATGTATTTGACGACCCTCAGCGGGAATGTGAGGGATAAACAAACTCAACGAGCATTTCTTCACAAAATGTACAGACTATAGTTCTAACAATGGTTCTACTTCTACAAACAAAACAAATTAACAGCCACTGCTAGAAAGGTTCTCACCTGAATAATTGGAAATCTTAAGAACCACCGCTGCTTATAAATATAAAAAACTCCATAAATAAATCCAAGAGCTAAACCTCTCAACCCTAACCCGAATAATGGCAGTTCACTAATCGCCTCTGAGTTCCCGCACAAACAAACCACCGACAGGAATCCCGATGCACTAGAGGCCATCACCAAGAGAATAAAACTTAGCCATGTTCTCACCCGGCGACGGAAACTGGGGGAAGAGAGCTCCGGCGACCCGCCGCCGACGACCCAGTTTAGAATGAAGCGGACGAGTCCAAGGCCAAGTTCGGGGAGCGAAACGGGGCGATCGGGTTGGGGAGAGGAGACGATGAAGAGAGATGAAGAGAAGAAGAGGAGAGAGAAGTGGAAGACGATGAAGAACAGAATGCTAAGGAAAGAGGGCGAGAAGGGGTTTCTAGTGAAAAGGGATAGGAGAAAGATCTTGCAGAAGAGAAAAATGAAGGTTGAGTGGATCGATTGCCATATCAGAAGCCCTAGGAATCGATTCTTAACGATTTCCGAAGAAGACATAATTATCAGAAGAGATAGAGAGTTCAGAGAGGGGGAGTGGGAAAGAAAATGAAAGAGGGTTTAATAGAGATTTTGGAGGAGGCGGGAATATGAACTGTTGAGTTGAGTTGAGTTGGAACGGAACGGAACGGACTGCCACATAAAGCATAAAAGGATAATTTCTATATTAACACCCTGCATTTTTGATGAATGACACTTTGCCCCCTCCGAGTTTTGTTACGGTTGGGTTGAGGCCAAGACAAGGTATCCGTTTGGGAGGGCTTCTTCGTTGGTCGATTGGACCGTGGTTGTTTTTGTTGAACACCTACACCTGTAATTTCGGACGAGTTATTTGGAGTAGCTTCAATTTGTTGTCGTTTTTTTTTTTTGGCCTTTGGAGCACACTAATATTAACTTTTTACATTTTCACCACACAATTTTTATGAATTCTACATGGGGCCAGCTTCGAAATGCGAAAAGTTGTGTTAGTAAAGCCCTCCCAAATGGGCACACGGCTTCTGCTGTTCCGAGCTAGGCTGGGCCTCCCATGAACATAATAAAGTTGTGTTTGGCACTGCATCGTAACTGTAACACAAATACGGTTGTCAATGGGTTGGGGTCTGGGATGGGACCAGTTAGAACCATAACCAAATCGGAACTAATAGAGTCTCTGATCCGATCCGATTATAATATATATTATGTATATAGCTCCGGTCGAATTCAGGATAAGATTGAACCAGTTTCAAATCAATAATAATCAGGACACTCCCTTTTGAGGGAATGGCCATTCCCTGCCCCTCCCTTGGGAATAGGGGTGGATTCGAGCCGAGCCGAGTCAGATAGTACCAGGCTTGAGCTCGGCTCGAGACTATTCTATAAGGCTCGAGCTTGGTTCGAGCCAAAACCTTGAACTTGAGTTTGAATCAAGAGTTCATAAGCTAGAGCTCGGCTCCGCTCAGCTCGTTTTATATTTTATAAAAATAAAAATTATACATAATTTTTTTTATATTTAAAAAATTAAGAATTATAATAATTAATAATTATAATATTTTTAATATATATATATATGTATATATATTCGAGTCGACTCGTGAGCCGAGCTCTAATAGGCTCGAGCTCGGCTAAAATCTCATTTTTGCTTATTTTAATTTCCATTCTCATTCCTATTTGAACCAAACAAACTATAGGAATGAACCTTTCTGATTCCAATTCTCGAAGATTTTGATTCTGATTCCAACTATAAACCAAACGGACCCTTATTTCCATCAATAGCCAATGCCATTTGCAGCTACTAGTGTGGAACTATAACCATTTAGCCACAACTGATCGTTCTTTTTCTTACACCACAGCTACACTCAATTATAACAAAGCTTTGCTACCCCGAACTACCTCCCTCCTCTACCACACTTTGTGTGAGACTCTTGTATGAATTTCTAAAATAACTCCCCATCTTTGACTTTGTTCAAGCCTTTTTGTTTCACTCGAATTGTAATTGACAACACATGAACTCCTCTAAATTGTTTTTGTCACCACTTCCATCTGGCATTTTGAAAAGAATGAGGGGATTGTAACCGTAGTTACTAGTTACAAAGCAAAAGGTGAAAACAGAGAAACAGAAATAAATAAATAGATAGGTCTTTAACCCTTTATTTCAAAAATGCATATATGCACTTCAAATGAAAATATCCTTGCTCCGATAAAATGGATTTCATCAACAAATTACATCCATGGATCTTCTTCCACTCATAACATCTTATAAAGTTAATTCACAAAGCTATATTCCATCTAAGGATTAAAGTATCGGTATTATGTATCATATTGAATAACTTGGATATGGATACACTTTTAAAACACATAAATATTGACAAACTATACAAAACCCCTTGAAACATTAGGAAATAAAGAAAATCCCATAGATAAAATAAAGGTAAATTGCTGAAACATCCCTTAAAGTTTACAGTCATTGCTAAAACCTCCCTTGAAGTTTCATAATGGCAACCACCTCCCTGAATTTTATAACATAATTGCAAGTAAACCCCTTTCATTAGAATCCTCTAACAAAAACACGAAAATGCCCAAAATACCCATGCAATTACTTTTGATCGCATATTTGTTTTTCAAATTTGCCTTTCACATCAATGGCTACCCCAAACCCTTCTTGTAGGTCTTTGGCTTCGGAGCATTTCACAAGTGTTTCCATCCTTGCTGATGTGTCATTCACGCAACAACAACAATTAAACGAAATCAAGGGAGAAAATCACATTTGGGAATTTGCTTTTTTTTAAAAAAAAACATTTTTGCAATGATTAACTCCAAGACTCAGGAAAGGAGGGATTTATTGAATCATTAAATTGGCAATTCTTGAATCTCCTTGGTGATCTTGAATCACTAAGGTGATGTGGCACATTGAATTTTGAAAAAAGTTGACTTCTTTCTGAGATGTCATATAGTTGCATAGTTTTTAAAAACGAACCGGTTAGGGGTATGGTTACCAGGTCGAACGGTCAGCCCGTTCTGACAAAAAAATATAAAAAATTTTAAAAAACAAAAAAAAAAGGTCAAAACCGTTCGAATGGTTAACCGCCCAGGTCAGCGGTTTGCTAACCAAAATCAACGGTTTTTGGAAAATTTTCAGTTTTGGGAAAAACCGAAACCAATCACCTAACCGGTTCCTGGTTTTTCCAGTCCAATTGTCCGGTCCAGTCCGGCTTTGAAAACCATGTATAGTTGTCATAAGCCAAATCCCTTCAAACGCCTAGCCATCTTGCATCCCTACCCAAAAAAACAGATGAAATGAAACACTTGTAGATCGAGGAACACATGTGAAATGAAATGCTTGTGAAACGCCATGGCATCAAACATCCGCCTTTTTATCCTTTTCAAAATTGATTTATTTTTCAAGCTTGCCTTCATAGCAATTAAATCCCAAATCCTTGTGATCTCTTTTAAAAACCTTGCCTAATTGTTTTTCAAATTTGTCATGTAACTTGAACTTGTACGCTACCCCCAACCTTGCCTTTTCATTGTGAAGAGTTGAAGACAAGCCTTTGCATCAAATGAATAAAAATAAAACTATGAGGAAGTATTCGTCAGACGCAAAACACCAACCCTTGGTTCTTTGAATGCCGAAAGGTAGCTACAACTTTAAATTCTTATTTTTTATTATTGTTCATAAAATTTGTATTATTTTCTCTATAAAAATTAGCCTCAAATTGGTTTGATGGGTGTACTTGCATATTGCAATAACTTTGAAAAATATAACATATTTTAATAGCCCCATAGAGTTATTAATGTTTGCATTGTCGCCAAACAGGGCCCTCTTATCTTCATTAATACAAGTGGCAATCCCCCACCTACCATGCGTTTGTTAATGGTTCCCTTTGATTCGGAGGCCCTCTTATCCCATTTCTGTATGAGATAGAGAAGAAAAGGAAGGAAAAAAACTACATTTCATTTTAAGCCACTACAACAAGGTAAAGGCAGAGTAAAATGTCATTGATTTTCTTTTTGAGGCTACTGCAACAAGGTAAAGGTAGAATAAAATATGCTTATGTTGACCACAAGTAAGAATAGGGATAATTCACAAGAAAATTTCCCCCCTTCTGTTCAAAACCCCATATTTCTCATAAAGGGTAATTTTGGTAATTAGAGAAATTTAGCTACTGACAACAAGCCTATTTTTCATTTAAGGGAAATTTTGTCATTTAAAAACACATAATTAATGATAACAGCAAATTATACCAACTTTTAAATGTTGAACTAACAAAGGGGTCTACTTGCTGAACTTCAAGGGAGGTTTTAGCAATGGTCCGAAACTTTGATGGAATGGGCCATGTTAGACGTAGGGTTTTAGGTCCATGGGCCGACACAATACAATATGACTGAGTGCGTTGTGTCGCCCTAGGCCCGTGTGCCAGTACGACCTCTCATATATAAAAATTTGTTTTTAATTTTATTATACTATTTTATTTAATTATTATATATATATATAAATAGTTGTATACATCAAAATTCATATAAAATAAAAAATTTAATGTTTTTGATTTTTTTTAAAAGACCACTTATAGTTGGGCTCGGTCCACGAACCGACCTAGCCCAAGCTTGGCCAATGGAATGAATCGGCATAGCACGGGGGCTATGGGTCATGCTTGGCCAACCCCCCAAATTATCACAAGGGAAGGAGGCACAACCCGTAGGCTAGTACAGTCATGCCATGTCGGCCCAACATGGCCCGATTTACACCTCTATTTATAATAGTAATATTTTATGGTATTTTTTTAATTATTCACACAAATAGTTAATAATTATTTTTAAATTTTATAATTAATATTTAAAAACTATTAATAAATTTATAATTAGAGTTAATAAATCTTAATTATGAATTAATAAATTTTATAATTCCTATTTTATAAAAATATTACAATTATTAATAGTAACAATAGTTAATTTAAAAAATCAATTTAATTATTCATGAAATAATTATTAATTTTTAAATTAAATAATAATAATAATCAAATTAATTGTTATTGGTACTTAATTAATTTGTTGTTAATATATCACTAATTAATTAATCATGAATTATTATTATATCACTAAGATTAATTACTAAAAATAGTATTATATTTTGGTATTAAATTTTGGCTATTTTTAATAAATCAAGGATATAATAATAGATTTTAAGTGAATTTTGGTATTTTTCAATTAGTTATGAAAATAATTAATTAATTTTAGTAAATTATTAGTAAATTTTCGACAATATTAGTAATTAATCCCACAAATATTACTAAAATGAAAATTATTAATTATTAAAAATAGTAATACTGTTTGGGAATTTTTAATTAATCACAAAAATAGTTAATTTATTTTGGAATGAGTTATAATGAAATTATTAATTATAAATAATAGGTGATATGCCATTTAAAGTAAATGGGTCTGATTAATAAAAACAAAAAATACCTCATCCAACAAACAACTTCACTTTAGCTAAATTGATGGAATATGCCATTTTCAATTGCAAAACCTTATTTTGGATGTCTCCAATTGTAGGACCTTGCTAGTTAAGGATTTGAATGAACTTGGATCCAT